AGATTTCCCAATCATGGCGAAGATTAACGTAAATGGTGAGAAGGCACATCCATTATATGAGTATTTAAAGAAAACAAAACCAGGACTTCTTGGAAAACAAGACATTGAAGATAATTTTACTTCTTTTCTTATTGATAAGAATGGAGTACCTGTGGAGCGGTTCCCTCCTGGAACACTTATTGATGAAATGGAGGAGGAATTAATTCCATTAATGAAGTCTGCAAAACTTTTACCCTCACGCATGTGAAGGATTATTATTATTATTCTTATTATTATTTCCTCTTAAACCCCTATGAACGTTTGTTTGTTGTAGCTCCCATCACAAAAAAAAGAGTTTTTATTATTATTTCTGCATTATACTATTAAGTGGGAGCTTTTTTTTTCTTTTCCCAGGGTTTCTTTTCCCCTTTTTACATGCTTTTTTTTAAAAATTTTCGGTTGCAGTGATTTTTTTCTTTATGGCAGATTAATTTCCTAATGAATTCTTTGCTCATTTTATTTATTTATTTGCATTTATACTACTATAAGCAGTGAGTCTTCTGGGCAACAGATAACATTACATGCAAGACATTATTTTTTCCTTTTTTTTTTTTTTTACCTCTGCCAGTATATATGTATATGTACATATATACCTATATATAGAGAGAGAGAAAGTTATACCATTATTCTTTTTTGCTTGATTTCTTTATACTTCAATTTCTTTTCTTTTCCTTTTTTTTTCTTTTCTTTCTTTCATGTAGTCTACGTATTGTTTTTCAACTGTAACCCACAGTATACTGCAACGCATAACGAATACAAGAAGACGTAACATTAGCAGTACTGATTATAACAAGAGCAAACAAAGTGAAAAAAAAAAGAAGAGAAGAAAAAAAATAGAAGAAGAAGTTAATACAATCAAATAGAGCAAGGGAACTTTAAAAAGAAAGAAAAAGAGAAAAATCACAGGATGTCCTCGCAAGAAAACACTACGCCTCCTCCTCCTCCTTCTCTTCATACTGGCCATTCTAGCATTTACGATTTTCAGGTGCTAGACGCTGACCATCAGCTGTACAATCTCTCTCAACACAAGGGACATCCACTATTAATATACAATGTGGCCAGCAACTGCGGCTATACAAAGGGTGGATACGAGACAGCGACAACTCTCTATAATAAGTATAAAGATAAGGGGTTCACTGTATTGGCTTTCCCATGTAATCAGTTTGGTGGACAGGAGCCTGGTTCAGCACAGGAAGTGAAGGAGTTCGCCTGTACACGGTTTAAGGCAGATTTCCCAATCATGGCGAAGATTGATGTAAATGGTGAGAAGGCACATCCATTATATGAGTATTTAAAGAGTTGTCTCTCTGGAAGTGCGGGAGTACAGGCTATTAAGTGGAATTTTACTTCTTTTCTTATTGATAAGAATGGAGTACCTGTGAAGCGGTTTTCCCCTGATACTACTGTGGATGAAATTGAGCAGCAGTTAATCGCTCTGCTTGATGATGATCATGTTCAGAACTCATCTTAGGCTATCTGCAATACATGTACGCTTGCTATTTTGACGGGTCTTTCTGGTTTTTTTTTTTCTTTTTTTTTTTTTCTGTTTTCTTCTTCAAACACTACGTATATATTTTTCTCTTTCTTTATCTCTTTCTATTCTTCTTGTGGGATTTACTACTTTTATTTCCCCCAACATGTTCAATCATCATGACAACGGTCAAAGAAAAAAAAAAAAAAATAGGAAATCTAAAAAAAAAAGACAAAAAAAAATTTATAATAATAGGAAGAAAAAGATATTTCTTTTTTTCCTGGTGTCATGATGTAAGAAACGAGGCGCAAACGGCTCGGACCAGGTGAAGGTGAGGAAATACACTCACAACACTTTGATATCTACTGCTGCTGTGATTTTTTTTTTCCCCCTTATTATTATTATTATTATTATTATTATTATTATTATTATTATTATTATTATTATTATTATTATTATTTGCTTGCTGACGGTAGGGGAGTGGGTCGGCTTTGTTTTTTTTTTTTGTCTGCGCCTGTGTGCGTGCGCATGGGGGGAAGTGTTAACTTTTTTTCTCTTCAGTTGGGGAACCACGTGGTGTGAGGGAAGTGGTGGTCTGGAGAAGAAGAAAGAACAACAAGGACAAGAAAAAGAAAAAGAAAAAAAAAAAACGATGAGATTGAATTTTTTTTTTTCTCTCTCTCTCTTTGTGTGAGTGCGTGAGTGTTTTTGATTGTCAGTCTCTATCTGGATCTGCGAATACTTGTACTTATATCTACATTACCTGTGTGTTCGTGTTTGTGTTTCTTTGTATATGTGTGACTGTATGTGTGTGAGAGAGAGAGATAGAAAGAAGGAGAGAGAGAGAGAGAGAGTTAGGGACATGCGTGTATGTGTGTATGTTTGTTTGTATGTTTGTGTGTGGACGTACAAGAGGAGAAAAAAAAAAAGAAAAGAAAGAAAAAAGTAATTAGAAGGCGATTTAATGGGAGCGGCATGTGGCAATTTATTCTTCAAATGTCTTTTCTGTTGTATTGTTTTTCTTTTTTTTTTTTTTTCGTTTTTCGTTTTCTTTTTTTTTGTTCTACATATGTGTGGTTCATGAACCTGTGAATGCCTTGAGAAATAGTATTATCTTTGTTAAGACATCATTTCTAATAATCGCCTCTTTTACCTTTTTTTTTGTTTTTTTTCTCTCTTCTGTTATTAATCGTATCTTTTTTTTTTCTTTTCTAAAGGTGGTTGTGTTAAAAAGAGAGACCATTCCTCTTTTTCTATATCCATCTCTGTGGGAAGGAGCAAAAAAAAAAAAAAAAAAAAAAAAACGCCTATTTATTCACATAAGCACCGGTTCAGTCTTTCCAGCGTCTTTAGGTGACGCTTCAGTATGTGTCTGTGTATTTCTGTTCCTAAGATAAGGTAAGGGAGGAGAAATATCTATCTGTATATATACTTCTCTCTCTCTCTCTATATATATATATATATAGATATATAGATATATAGATAGAGAGTGAGAAAGTACTAGTTGCAATCAACGTGAATGCTTAAGGGGAGCAATGGAGACATTTTAAGGGTTGTTCGTGCAACAGCAGCAAAGAAGACTTTTGTTCCTGCGGGTGAAGAAAGAAGTGCTGTACGTAATGTTGTCAATATGTCTTCTCAAGCACCCGTTTCATTACCACCACTCTTAACGTCCTCACTATTGTGGGCATCTGCACTTTCCCAGAGAAATGAATCTCCTGTTGTTACTACTAGTGCTAGTGCTAGTGCTAGTACTACTAATGTTGATGGTCTTTTCTATGAGAGAATAAACTCGGAAGCCAAACAATTGGGTTTTGATGCAATAGAGCGAGCTGAAGTGCGGCGACGCGCTAAACTTTTTCTTCTTGAGAAAGATAAATATTCCCTTTCTGAGGCATCTCCTAGTAAAACTGGGAATACTAGGAATAAAAAGCAAACACTTGTGGATAGTCTGAAGGAAGAGATAGAAGGTTGTCAGATGTGGTCTGCTGCTGCCGCTGCTCAGATACCAACACATTTTTTTATTGGTATTGATATTAAACGAACAAGTGAGAAGGAAATGTCTACTTGTAATAGTGATATCGTTAATAATAATAATAATGATAATAATAATAACGATGGTGTTCATGAGGAATGTATACAGCGGTTATTTGAAGCCATAGCAGTAGTATCAGTGATGTTGTATTATCTCCGTCCACTGCGTAATGCTATTAGTACTGCTGTTTCTGCCATTATACTATCATCATCATTATTATCATCATCGGAATATCTTTTAGGAGAATTACTATCATTCTTTGAAGAACTTCTCCGTAAAGGAGGTGCTGCTCCCTATATAATAGCAGAGGTATTAGTTCACGATGTGTCTAGTCGTATTCCTTTAGAGTCTGTAGTTCAGCCATGCTTTACATTTATACATCAACGGCGAGATGAAATCATAAGAAGTGTTAATCGTATTCAAATAGCTTTAGAAGATGTAAAGGCAACCACTGTATTAGGTGTAGAAGTACACGGTGAGAAACTTCACACACTGAATGAAGAACAGTTGAGAAAAATTCGCGTTCTTCTTCAGCGAGAATTGCGTCAACATCTAAAGAAGAACAGAGATGCCACTACACACAGCCTTCAACAATCGCAATATTTTCTTTTGGCGTGTAATCAATATAAAGAAATGGTAGGGAAAAACACCCAACACATTCATCCTCGTAGACTATACAAAGAAAGATTTCTTTATTCAGATCTCTCTTGTGGTTATGGTGTATCATCACAGAGAATCCAAATGGAAAAGAAAGTGGAAGGGAATACTATCATAGAGTCTGGAAAACCTAAAAAGGTTAATGAAAGTGTAATAACAATGAATAGTTCTCATCATAATATTATTTCTTCTTCCCGTTGGGAACGTACCGTTCTTGAAGTTTGGCGGGCACATCGTGAAGTTGTCTTTACCGTCTTGCTGCGTCGTCCTTTCTCTTTAAAAAGAATAATAAAAAAAAAGAAGAAAGAAGAAAAATGTAAAGGACAATATTCACATGAATGGGGAAAGTTTATGAGTAGTAATCAACTTACAGATACTGTTGAACCAGAAGAACTATGGTGTCATCTCTCTGCTATAGTTGAAGTACATAATCATGATAGTGTTGTTCCCTTGATAGATACACTGTTGGATTGGGTTAAAAATGAAAAGAATATAAAAAATAAACAAATATACACTATACATGCAGTGGAACTCGTTATTTTTCTTTTTGCTGCCAAAGTTCATAGTAATAATGATTATGGTGGGAAATCAGATGATGTACGGTTACCATTAGAGAAATTACTACAACGGATAGAGGAAAAACATCTCTCTACTACTATTAATAGTAATAGTGATAGTAATAGTAATAGTAATAGTATACCGTTATTGAATGTAGCATTTCAGGCGTTAACCGAACCGCTTTCTACTTTTCTCGTAGATGCAACTTTCACAGCCCTTTTCTCAAAAGAAAAGGAAATAAATTCTTCTTCTTCTTCTTCTGTTTGGACTCATGATTCGAGTTTTCCTCCTCTACGTTGGGTTTGGGGAAATAATCGTCTATCACTGATGTGTATGGCTGCACTGTTGTGGAATCTTCATTCATCCAAAGCGTTAAATCACGCCATATTAACTCTACGTGATAATAAATTTTTTTCTCACTCTATAAACACGGATTCTACAATATTGTCCACCTCAACTTCAACCTCTTTCTCGTTATTACAATGGCATGCGCATGTTCTGGTACTGTTAACAACAATGATAAAGTATGGTAATCATGGATCTGCTCTTACGGCTACAATAGTGGAGTCTTCTTCTTCCCCATTGAAGTTGAGATTTCTTTTAACAGTTGTTGAATGGTTAAACACTAGTCTTCTCGCTATTTTAAATACTATACATGTGCGAACAAAGAAACCACTTCCTCGTTTTATTAGTGAGGCATTATGGGATGTACAAATACCATTAACGATATGGGCATTACATCATATAACATCTATGCGTAATGAATGTGGATTAGTAGATGTATGTAAACTTGTAGAAAATTGTCAATTGATAATTAATGATCTAACCTTGCGATGGGATTATAGTATTGTACCAAAAAGACGATATCATAAAAAGGAAACCATGCCTTCTATTATTTCTACTACGATGATTGGTCTTAAAGAAGAATATGAAGCTGATGCTATTATTGCAGATCGTGTCGTAAAGTTTGCTTCTCTTCTTGAAGGAGAGTTATTATCCGCTTTAGATGTTTTACCACATCTCTTTTCTAATAGTCGTAGCTTTTCATGTATGTGTAATGCTGTTGGTATAGTATTATATGATGTGGATATTCGAACGGGTCATCAAATAATGAAATATCTTTTACATCTTTTACCAAATGAAAAGGAAATGGATGTGGAAGCACATGTGGGTATTATTCGTTGTTTATCCTCTATGCGGCATGGTTGTACACTTTGGCAGGAGGCACTTTATCACTTTACTCGTGCAGTCACTCTAATCAATAATATTAATAAAGAGGATGAAGTATCATTACAGAGGAATCAACGTTTTTCACATATACCGAGTGATCTTTCAACCGCACGAGTTTTACGTTGTGTGGGGAGTAGTCCACTTTCATACTCTATGCGTTGTTTACTTACTTTTAAAGTTGTGGCTTTTGCACGTGCGGCTGGAGTTCCTCTTAACACACAATCGTTTTCTGCTTGTTTACATAATTTCACTATGCGAAAGGAGGAGACATTATTAGTGGGATCATGGTTTAATAATAATAATAATAAAAGTAATAATAAAAACAATCACTGGTGTGATGCTCTGCAGTGGTATGATGATATGAATACATCTACATTATTATCATCTCGGGATTTATCCTTTTTTCTTTCTACATGTCTGCAGAGTATGCTTGCACAGGGAGAATGGTCTGATGCCCTTCTTTCACGTCCACTAGTTGAATGGATTCGTCTTTATGCGGGATCTATGAAATTAGATCCATATGATTATATCACTAAAGTGTTTATTTTATTAACATTATGTGCATCTGATAGAACGAGAAGTTGTGCAAATGCTGCCAAAGCGTTATTTCAATCTATTCAAGATTCTTCTCTTCATATGAAATCATCTACAGTAAATTATAAAGTATTAGAAGAACTCTATCATACAGCTATTTCTGATATTTCACCTTCACTCTACAATGAATTAAATACAACAATATCTCGTACACCATTATTCCGAAAAGAGGCTCCAGTGATACCTAAACCTGTAATTAAACGAGAAGAAACGCTTTCATCACTACAATTAAGAAGATATGGAGTTTTATACACACATACACATTACAATCATCATGAGGCTCTAGTAGTAAAATTAAGGCAATCCCTATCTTCACGATTAGATGGAACACCAAAAGAAACTACGAATACTTCCTCTTCCTCCTCATCCTCTGAGGAAGAAGAAGGACAACAACAACAACAACAGAAAAGAGGAAAAGGTTCACTTGTGCAAATTCGTGAACGTGTATCTCGTGTATTTCCTTTAATGCAGGTTGTATGGTCAGAAGAAATACTTCACTCTGAAAAAGTAGAGGAAAATGATGAAAATTCCATAACTGGAGATGCAGCACGTTCATTGATGGATACACGTTATGCTAGTGTTTTAATCCCACTACGAAAACTTGAGAAACTCCGGGCAGAAAAGCGAAATGGTATTCGACGACGTCATTTAGTATTGAAATCTGAGAAAGGGAAAGGGAAAGTTGAGAAATGATGGAAGTGGAACTGATAAAGGTAGAGTTGAATGAGGGAATATATATATATATATATATGGCTTCATTATTTAAGATTTTGGTTCTTTTATTTTTTTCTTTCTTGAACAACCCCCTTTCCTGGACCATATTTGTGTGTTCTTTTTATTTTCGTTTGCTTTACTCCTCTATCGGTTGGCCTGTCATGAGCCACTTAAGGCGTTAAGTATTTGAAAAGAAAAGAACAACAGTAATAACAACAGAGGAATCAAAAAAAAAAAAAAATATTAAAATAAAAAAATAAACAGAGATGTTCTCTTATAGCAGAGGTTGTAGGGCACCTGTGTTTTGTCGCATTATCGATATTATGCGGCAACATGAACCGTATGCACGTCCTGGTATATTATATCCCATACGTGTAGAATTAGGAGCAAATGTAGAGAAGTGTACACCACGTGAATTGCAGGAAATCATAGACACCATGTTGGCCCGTTCACAACGTTTCGGAACAACCAAAACAGGAGTGATTTATAATGTAGATAACTCCGTGGCAACGGAGATAAAGGCGTATGGACGGTATGTAGTTACGGGTAATATGCGTGGGGGATACATTAAAGGGGATCAACGGTATGGACCACGTTTAACAGGATACGGTGGTGCCACTACGAAACCTGGATTGCGGTGGAATGGAGATGATTTGTAAAAGTATATATATATATATATATAGACTCAAAGTATATACATATGTATTTATACATGAGTACTTTGTACTACATATTTGTTTATATTGACTAGTGTGATGATGATTATTTTTGTCTATTTTATTTTTTTATATTTATTCTTTTTCTTTTTTCTTATCCCCTTCTGTTCTTGTGACTATGGTAACAGAAGAATACGATTTTGTCCTTCTACTTCCAATGTTTGTTATGAATGGTTCATACAACTCAAACTATTATTATTTTTTTTTTGTTAATAATGCTGGATAGTTATTACTATTATTTATTTATTTATTTTTTTTTTTATTTTTTTTCATTTATTCTATCTTCTTTTGTGCTGGGGGAAACTCTGTGTCTGTAAGGTATTTAACTGAGGAATTGTCTCTAGTGTGTGAGACTAAAAGAGAAAGAGAGAGAGAGAGTAGAGTGGGATTTTGGGGGCCGTATACGTGTTAAATCGTACAAGGCAACAAACAGATCAGAAAGAAAAGAATTCATCAACGAAAAGCCATAAGAACAAGAACAAGGCACATATACCACAACTAATCAACCAACCGGTCCCTAAGCAAGTACAACAAGGAAAGAGAGAAAAAGAAAAAAAAAGAGAAGAAAAATATAATCAAATGATTGTAGAAGGTTCTACAGTGGCAGAAGTGCCTACAGTCCGCCGAGTGCGACGGATGCGGTCTCACTTTGAGCGCCTCGTGCGGCCAGCGGATGTGGCCCCCGGCGAGCCAATGCCGAGTATAGAGGGATGGGTTCTTTTCCTCACAAACCTTCCCGCCAACACCACCACAGACCACATCCTAGACATCTTCCACACACATGCGAGCCCAACCGCAACCACAACCACAACAACATTAAATAATGAAGCAGATGAGAATGAGAAGGATAATAATAATAATAACAATGATAATGATAATGATGATGAGGGAAATACGGCTACAACGACGGGAGCAGTAACAGGTGGGGGCTACGGACGTGTGAGGGAAGTCAAAATGCCACTGGATCGTAACTGTGAGTGCTGCGGCTACGCCCTTGTGGAGTTGGAGAGCCGCGAGGCCTTCACTCGGGCACTGCGGGAATTAAACGGCATTCCACTTCCCTTCGCAGAGGGCGAACCGCGGGATGGAGGGGAGGCGTGGCGGCTGCATATTGCCCCAACCTTTCTTGGAGAGGAAGAGGAGGAGGACCCAATGGCGGGTGAAAAGCGTATGCGTGAGTAAGAAGAAGAAAGAAAGAAGGAAGGAAAGGAGATGGAGGAGGAATAAATACATTACAAACATACAAACACTCACACGCCTCTATTCTGAGGTAATAGAAAGAAGGGTCTACTGAAAGTAGTAGACGTTTTTTTTTTTTTTTTGTCTCTTTTTTTTCTTGGTTGTTGTTATTGTTATTGTATGTACGTATGTGTGTAGTTGTATTGTTGCTTGTTTGTTGTTTTTATTTACTTCTTCTTTTCCCCTCCTTTTTTTTTTCCTTTTGTTTCTTATATATGTGTTTGTATGGTGTCTGTTTTGTTGTTATTATTATTGTTGTGGCATCCCCTTTTTGGATTTTTTTTTGTTTATTTCTCTACTATATGGTTCTGTTTCACATGTTTATGAAAAGGAAAGGTGAATCAGGTATAATTTTCTGAAAAAGGTTGGGGAAAGAGAAGAAGAGAAAGAAAAAAAAAAAAAGAAACAAGAAACGATTCCTTCTCTCACTGTATTTGATTCTGATCGGTGTCCTAAGTTTTTTTTCTTTTTGTAATTACTTTCCCTTAAATATGATTGCTGATCACCCAATATGGATACTGTGTCGGTATTCTTTTTAAATCACAATTTTTTTTTTCTCTTTTTTCTTTCTTCGTATTTTCTTTTAATACGTGTATTTTCTTTGATTGGTTGTTATTATTTGGTAATATAATTAAATAGGGTCTCTTCTGTAGTGCCCAAGTAAAGAAATCTCATTCTTGTGTAGTAGAATCAAAACAAAAGGAAAAAAAAAAGTAGAACAAAAAAAGAAGGAAGAAAAAAAAAAAAAAAAAAAAAGGAAAAAAAAAAAAAAAAAAAACAGCGGCTTGTAATAAAATGAATCCATCAGGAGGAGGTGTTCAGTCATCCTTACCATCTGTATGTGGAGATGGTACAGGTATACAACGAACGAGTTTGCCCTTTGTAGTATTTGAACTTGCCATGGCATCTATCTGTACTTTTAGTTACTTTGCAATGAGACGCATGCGGCGACTTTCTGAACTGCGTGCGCAACAACGTTATGATCGTCTTAGTCGACTGGAAATTGGGTTTGGTGCGAACAATAATAATAATCTTACCGATCATGTTATTGCAGTATAGGTGTGTTTGAATGGGGTACTGTTGAAGAAGTTATCCTCTGATGGAGCATTATTATCCTCTGTTTTTTTTTTTTTTTATTACTATTATTTGCGTTTCTCTCTTCTTTGTGTGAATCTTTGCTCTTTTTTTTTCTCTGTATATGGTGTAAGGTACCAATATGAAGAGCAATGATCGCAGTTGTGTCGTGTTTGCAAGCAGTTTTTTTTTTCCCTCTTTGTTATCCTCTTTTCGGTTCATATTCTTTCTCTCACTCTCTGTGTGTATATGTATATATACCCTCTGGGAAAAAACAGATGCTTTAATAATTCTGATCTCTCTTTTTCTTATTTGTTGCAATATATATATATAAATAAATAAAAGGGTATCTCTCTGTGTTTGCGTGGCTCTCTCTCAAAGAGAAAGGAGAGAGAGAGAAGGTTAGAAGAAAGGTAGGGGAAACCTGTTGTAGTCTCCGTGTTTTGTTTCTTAGCCTATATATATATATAATGAGTGGCTTTGCACGACTTCGAAGCGATGGGGCTCTCTCTATTGATCTTAGAGAAGTAACAAGTGGTCCGTCTTCTTCAAACGTCTTTGTACGAGATGATAATAATGTTGTTGTTCCTTCACTCCAGCAGAGTTCTCCACATCCCAGCAGTGAGATCTTATTGGGAAATGTATCTTCATCCACTGGAACTCCTTTATCCCCACGCCCGCGTATTCCCTCATCTGTAAATCCAGTTGAATTTAATATGAAGGAACGATTAGTGCAAGAGGAGGAGTGGCGTCATCTGCGAGAATGTACATTTAATCCAAGTATTAATCCACGTTCCAGACATTTAGCATCAATGAAAACTGAAGAAGAAGAAGAGAGTAATGTATTAATCACTCGTCGTCACTCATCACATAAAGTCCATCAAAAACTTTTTGATGATGCCAAGAAACAACGAAATAAATTAGATAAACTTCGGGCTGCGAGAGAGGCAGAGAAGGAAAGAGAAGAACGATATGAGATGCAACAAGGATATCTCTCATCTCATAGTATTTCACCTCGTCGAAAGAAACGTAACAGTAAAGAGGGAACTGACAATAATACTGATAATAATCATCATCGTGATACTGCTGGTAATGAAAATTTAGAGGTATTTGAGCGACTGTATGCAGATGCCTCATGTAGACAACAAGCGAAGGCGGAGGAAATCTTGCGGCGTGAGGAAGAAATGAAAAGACGTGAAGAAGAAGAAATGAGAGAAAGTGGAAGATTAACATTATCACCAGAGCGACGGCGAGAAGAAGAAGAACAACAACCCTCACAAAATGAAGAGGCACAGAAAAAGAGAAGAGCTGAACGAAAAGAATTATTTGCTCGACTCTCTGTTCCTTTACGGAGAAGAGAAAAGTGTACGACTACCGTAGATGAGGAACTAACACCACAGAGGGAAAGAGAATCCCGTCGATCTAGTGTACAGTGGCCATTACCATTCCTACACACACTAACGTTAGCGGACCTTCAACGGCACAATGAACTGGTAAGTCGAATGAGTTCGAGAGCAGTGTTTTGATGAAATTTGGTTGTTGTTTTTTTGCTTTTACTTTTTTTTCCTTTTTCTTTTTCTTTTTTGTTTTTCTTGTAAAAGTATCAAATAAGTGTAATTCGCACAAGTACAGTCAAACAGTTTTTTTTATATTTCGCTATGTGTTTATTTTATTTTATTCTTTTCTTTTTCATTCGTGCCTATTGAAATACCTGAGAAGTGCACCACACGGACAGTGTTGTGCTTTTTTTTTTCTCTCTCTCTCTCTCTCTTTTTATTTGTTTTTATTTTTTTCTGAAATGTGTATATCTTTCTTATTTTCTATTCTTTTTTTCTTTTGTTAATATATATATATATATATATATATATATAGCGTAGTTCAACGAAATGCAGCGTGGAGTACGGCGGTATATCCATGGCCAGTCCGGTGCATACACCCCGTCTTATCACGAATTGCTTGGAAAGTCTCCATGGATAGTTGTACGGCATCTTGATCACAGCAGTGCCGATGGAGATAACGCCGTCACGTTGTCTGAAGGAGACGTCGCCACTGTTTTTTCACAATTCGGTGAAGTTGTGGATGTGCGATTTGTTCGACATCGGCGTACGGGTCGTTTCTTAGGTACAGCCTTTGTGAAGTTTGAGGATTATCGAAGTGGTATACTTGCGGCGGATGAGATGAACTCTCATCATGAGACTGGGAAAGAAGTGCGGTTAACAGCAGCCGCCAAACGTGGAATTGAAGTGGAACGCTGCGATGCGGCGGAAGTTGTGGGGCTTCCGGAGGGTGTGGAATCATACGCCGCGTGGTTAGAGCGAATAAAAAGTGGTGGGAAACTCGCAGGAGTGTCTGTTGGTGAATTGCAAGAATGAAATGATATTCCAGAATTTTGTATCTTTGTATGGATTCGTTGATAATATATACATATATACGTATTTCACCGTGTAAAGTAAATACTAAGAAGAAAAGAGTCGTTATGGTTGCTCTTCCATCCCTTTTTTTTTTCTTTTCTTTTTTTTTATAGTTGTATGTTTGTATGTTTATTTCAATAAAAAATTGATTTTCTCTTTTTCTCTTTTCTCTTTTTTCTGTTGGCTAATTGGGTTAGCAGAGAACTACCGGGACAGACACACCTTCATACACGCAGCCCAAGAAGAGGACGCGTGTGTTGAGAGGAAAAACAGGCAAATACCCTGTCTCCATACGATAACCAAGAGTTTGGTGATAAAACACATTTCCATATATAAATATATATATATATATATATATATTTATATATAT